GATCTTGGGGAGGAGCACCGACTCACCGCCAACATGCATGCTGAATTTGATAGGCAACATGACCTTTTTGTGAGCGCCACCGTCCGCAGTTTTGAGGATGTCACTCATACTCGGTGTGATCTTTTGGAGGTCGGCAGCCGTTGAACGAGCAGGTGGCACTGCCGTCCGGATCGGTCTTCACAATGGATATGACCTGTCCACTAAGGCGGGTTATCACAAAGCAGCACACTTGGTCAGGACCTTGAAACCAAAATATCTTCATTGTTCACCTCCTTGTTTTCCATTTTCCATTATGCAAAATGCCAATCAAAGAACTCAGGAACAGGTGAAACGACTTGAAGAAAAGAAAGGTCTGGTTCGCAAGATTTTGAAACACTGTTGTTCTCTTTTGGAAATTCAATTGGATGAAATGGGGGGTGACGGGGGTCTGGATCATGATGGAGGATTGGAACAACCCCTGAGGGCCACTTCTTGGCAGGAACCCTGTTTGCCTATGGTGACCCGTAGGTGTGGAGGTCGTTTCAGGGTTGAAGGGTGTCGTCATGGCATGAGAGATCCCAAAACTCAGATGACTGTTTTGAAATCTTTTGGTTGGATCTCTACTTCACCGGAAGTCAGAACTTCTCTGGCTAGGCAGTGTAACCATGGACACGGATCCCACATCCCCATCGAAGGTGAGAGAACGGCTTCCACTGCTGTGTACCCTCCTTTGCTGTGTGAACGATTTGCTAAAGCCATTTTGCCTTTGAAAACCCTTTTCAACAACTGTGGTACAATTGTTGGCATGCTCAACCCATCTATCACGAAGAGGATGACCGTGAGGCTGAACGTGGTTCACCGGAACCAAACGGCTTGCCAGATAAGGGTTTGTCCGTGTAACAAGGAAGTCTATGCTTCAAAACAGGGTGTATCTTGGCATGTTACCGGTTGCCACAAGTTGACCCAGATCTCGCCCAAGAACCTGCTCCCCTTGCGAGGATGCTCGTTCTGCGCATGTCCGTGGTTTGATGTGCCACCCGTCAAAACCTGTTTGTCCGCGACACCACTTTGCGCACGGAGATCCGCGCTTGGTGTGGATTGAACGCTGGTCACCTAGATCAGACGCATGTCTCTAGTCAATTGCCATGTATCACCTAGCCGGCTGCGCAGCATTGGGTACTGGATACCTATGAGCGGTTCATATACCTCCTGGGCCACCCGCGCACTGGTTGGCAGCATGAGACTCCAGCGGTGTTGTCCAGCAACTCCGGATCGCTCAGCTGCGCTTTGCGCTGTGTGGAAGTCCAGTGGACTGTCAGGATTGGTGGCTGCACAGCCAAGACCAATTAATAGCCCTTCGGGCAGCTCCAAAACGACTTTGGATAAGTCACTATAGGTTGCTTGCAGCGTGCTGGCGAAAGAGGACGTGGCAACGACACCTTCCGGTCGAAACCAGGTGCGCCCCAGCGGCATTTGGCTAACAGCGTCGGCAGCCCGCTCTAGGTCGTCTTGGTGAAAACCTCGGCAGCGATGGAGGAGCGTGTTAAACACTCCTGGAACCTCATGAGGCATGTACCAGGCATGAGGGGCTCGCAGCCCTTTCGGAGCTTTGAGAAGGAGCTCTCTGGTCCTCTGCTACTCCGCCTGAAAGCCGAC